AAAGTTGAAGAAATTAAGTTGAACTTAACCTATCACCATACTGCTGTGGTCTCACTGCATCTTCACTCATTAGGAAATAAACTTTTCATAGAAACAGTAACAAGAGAAGAATTTGAGGGTCTTAATTTAGATCTCTTTAACAAAGTTCTTGAACCTATTGACAAGGTTTTACAAACTACAGAGCTGCAGAGGAATGAAGTAGATGAGATTGTGTTGGTAGGGGGCTCAACAAGGATACCAAGGATTATTGAAATGATAAAAACTCACATGAACAAAACACCCAATACCAATGTAGACCCAGAGCTGGCTGTTGTAACAGGTGTTAGTATACAAGCAGGAATACTTGGGGGTATGTGGCCACTGACAGTTAGTGCTGTGGAATTGCCTACTAGGGTCAATAAGATTCATATACGTTAATAAAACTCAAGTTTTCTGCCTTTGTAACAAAAATTATTTTTTTTTGTTAGTGATATTAGTGATATTGATTACTTAAAACAGATTTGGACCTATGCTTTTAGGACCATCAAGGGCTATCTTTAAAAAATACAGTTACAAAATTGCATTAGATATTTGACATCAACATTCAGTTAGTAAAACTTAATTCCAAATTTCTACAAAAAAAATAAGTTTGTTGCAGCTGTGAATTTGTTGGGGTTTTCTTCCTAGTTTTGATTAAAATCAAAATGACTGCTTTTTAATGTAAATTATTTTACGTTGTTCTAAAATTTGATGGCTTCAAAAATATACAATCTGCTGTAGCTATATTTAGATTATTCAAAGACATTTGCTTTATTTTGCGGAATCAGTTATATTTTAACATATTACACCGGCAGCACTATTGATACCATCTCTACAATTGCCAGTGGTGCAGATTTGGAAAGTTTAAAAAAATATTTTTTAAAATAAAATGTGATTTTGGACTCCTTTTTTTTCCCAGTTACCATAACAATCTTTATTAGATTGATAGGGGTGAAAACTAGCAATCGTCAATGAAGAAACCAGACTACACTAACTTAGGAGAAAGGGGAGGGGATTTTGAAATCTATGATAAAAATTTTATTTAAAGCAATTTACTTTTGGATTTATTGTTATTTCTTTTAAGTGACATTTATTGACTTAATTTATTGAAACCAGTACAGCATTGGTGCTTTAAGTTTTAAATAACTTAACAAATTATGTTGAGGGTTTAATTATAAGCCAATTTGTCCCTTCCTCTGCACATTAACATGAAAGAATTTTAAAAAATTGTTGTTTAAATGTGTAATATTTATTATCCCAGGAATTTTCTAGTCACGTTAGAATTATTTTTTTAAACATGCCAACTTAAAAATATCTAACCTCAGTTACCCTAAAACTTATCTAGGAAAATATTTTATTGTCTGTAGATCACTTGGTTAAAAAAAAACATATACTTTTCTAAAAAGGCCATCTTTCTACTCGCATTTTCTATGTTGTGATCAAAAAGTAAATTTTTTTTTTGACACATAACTCAATCACTCAGTTGATGGTCTCATGCAGTGCTCACCTGGTGAACAGCTGGAGAAGGGCTGGTAGGGGAATGGTTGTTCAGAAGGGGTTAGGCGCAGGGCATATGGCAGTTGGACTCTGGCTGTGATAAATTGGGTTGAGGGAGGAGGTGGGAGTCAGTGGTGGGGAATGATGATAGACAGATTAAAAATTAAATGCTAAAATTAGCAAGTAAAAAAAAAAGACTTGCTATCCAAGATGAGTTTAAATGCACTAAAGAGTAGAAAATAATTTAACATTTTTTTAAATTGCACTACGCAAAGAAAGCCTGTGCAGAAAGTTTTTTTTTTTTTTAATTAATAAAAAATAAAGCATGTTTAAGTTTTTTCTACATTCAATTTGAATTCTCTGACTACATCTACACAGTCTTTCATTGTTATTTTATTGCATTCAAACTTGTCTTTGGTAGAAAGTCTTTATTTTTAAATATTTGTTGAAAGATGCATTTAAAATGAACAACTCACATGAAATACCTGATAATAGTATAAATTTCTATAAATGTTATTCAGCCCTATACAATTTTTTTACTAGAAGTGAATTTAAAAAAGCGGGGGTTTTTGGTTACATTTATTCAACAACTTCATACTTTAAAATTTTTCATTTTCATATGCTTAAAACTGCAGACTATTATATTTTCAATAGCCTACAATTTTACTGCAAGAATGATTCGTCTAAGCCATGACAGAAGGTATTTATTTTAGATATTTTTGAAAGTTGTTAAAAGTAGAGTGTTCATGGGGTTTTTTAAAAAAATACCGTACCAAAATGTAAATATCTTAATTTAATTGAAATTGTTTGCATTCCTTTCTTTTTTGGTCTGTGATAAATTATTGAATGAATGAGTTCTGATATGAATTAAGCGATAAATTAGAACTTGTTATGTTATACTTAGTTACATTTTTATACACTGTCCATGAAGTGTTTTTTTTTTTTTAAAGTAAATATTTAGTTAAGATAATTTGTAAACATTAATTTTGTTGAAATTAAAAGAGCTATGAATAAAAGTTAGTTGCTGGAATTACTGTATCTATTTAACCTTTAAAGGAGAGCAATCATATTTAATTTTGAAATTTAAATCAGTGTTTTTAAACAATTTAAATTCATGAAGAAATATTTTCATCATCTAGAATCAGAGGAAGAACAAAACTTGCCAGATGAGCTTTGTTGAAATGTGTCAACAATGGTTTAAAACACATTAATGCAATTTTAGAAATGGTAAAATACATTTTTTTAAATGTTTTAATCAAATGTTTTTTTAAAAATCATTTTACTTTGAATTTTATATTTTAAAGTTTGTCTGGTAAGTGAAAGTGCCTGGGAATCATGTGGAGTTGGTAAGCGAATGACACTGGACTGGGGACTCAAGACAAATCAGATATATTTAAGTTCTCAAAATTTAATAAAAGAACCGTTAAATTATTTCCATGCTGTGATCTCAAGCTGATATAATGTATTTAGATATGGTAAGTTTCCACAGTTCCACAAAGTGATTGGCATGGTAGAAGCTGATAATAGTTTGGATTTTGTATAAGAACTGTATGTACAAATCTGAAAACTGTATTATATTTATTTATTACTGATGGTCTCAGTGAGACATGTATATAAAGTACACATGATGTATACTAAGTTATGTATTCTTTTTTAAAATTATTATTCATTCACCATGGTCTATAATAAAGATTTTATGATTCTGAATAATTTGGAATACACTCAAACAAAATTTTTAAAAAATTTGTAAAATATGTTTTTTGTTTTTTTCAAGAAAGAAAAAAATATGTTGTGCCTCTTTAAGATATACAAAAATATCAACAACTTTTTTTTTGGCGACCATCTTCTGATCCATGTATTTGTAATATTTATGCTTTGACCTTTCTGCTTCTGCCCATCTTTTTTCGATCACGTCAGTATTTCATGTACATTTGCTTCAATAGTTATTTGTGTTTAAAAACTGCTTCAAAAATTTTCAGGGATGTCTGTATCATAATCAAAGCAATGAAAATCATGACAGAACAGTTGATATTTTTTAAAAAAATATTTCAGTTGTAAACAAACTAAAATGGATTTCTCTAAATGTAGAGATTAAAAATCAACAAACTCTACTAACATACTCCATTCTCTCTTTCTTTTTTTTTCTTCATAAAACCATTAGCTTATTTAACTCATGTTGCAAATGGTCAATTGTTTTATGATCTGATTTTCATTTTATTCTACATTTTGTCAAAGGGAAGGTTTTCAATATTTTTGCACATTTACATGTTACAACTTGTTGACATTAATGAATTAAAACAAATCAAGTGATTTATGGCTTTGCAGTCTTTTTTTTTAATGCCAATGGGCAGTCAAGATTTTGTTGTTTTTTTCAAGTAATCAAAAACTTCTTTTTACTATGAGTCTAAGAATAATAGCTTTTCATAGTAATTATGACTTTTTTTTTTTACTGTGCAAAACTTAAAATAAAGATCTAAATACTTTATATACATGTTTATAAACAATCACAATTATTATCCTTGACGAAAAGCTGCAGTTTTCAGTTTCTCTTTATAAAATTCAAAAGTAAAAGACAAAAGTGTTAAATGAGCATTTAGATCATACTTTGAATTGAGCAACTTGATTAGCCCTACTCAATCAGTGCTCCATTGCTAAACAGAAGATTTGATTCATGGTTTGCTCCTTTACTCTTACCATTTGTTAAATTATTTTAAACCAGCTAGTGTTGCAATCATACCTATGTAATAAATTTTAGAAATATAAAATAAAGTGATGTTTAAACCAAACACCTACAATCCCAAGAACAAGAGACCAACACCAACATAACCTTTAGATTACTGTATAGCATTTAATGGACACTTTTTAAGTTATAGATTTTCAACATTGCAGCACAGTGTTACGTGTTCAATTGTTTTTTTTATTAAAACACTTTTATGTTCTAAAATTGGGCACAGTTCTTTTGAAGTTAAATTTTTAAAATTATGAACTATGTTGAGCTTTTTGGCATCCACCTATCTGGAAAGCGAAACGATGGTGTGCTTCTATCTGCCTATCAACAGCGCCTGGGAGGGTCTGCCTATCAACAGCGCCTGGGAGGGTCTGCCTATCAACAGCGCCTGGGAGGGTCTGCCTATCAACAGCGCCTGGGAGGGTCTGCCTATCAACAGCGCCTGGGAGGGTCGTTGTGTGGAAGATAAGCCGTTTCCCAGTCAGCAGGTTTTTTTCAGGTGTCACCTCCAAGAATTAAAAGAATTTTTTTTTTGTTTGTTTTTTTTTGGTGGGGTGGGGTTGGAGGGTTTACATTTGTCTAAACGTTACGGGAAGCTAATGGAAGCCGAAAATATCCAATTAGTAACTGGACTCTATCATTATTGGCTTTGCCTAAAATGTTATATTTTTTACAAAGTATTGCGGAATTACGGTTAATTGTCTTACTTCTGTAACATTTTTAAACAAACCAAAAATAAAACAATTCTGAAGGCACGTTATAAACCTCGTTGGCTCAGTGCTGTCGACAATTCTTGAATCTCTCGAATGCAAGAGCCAGGGGTACAAGGATCAGTAAACCCCACGACTACGTTCTGTGACCCCAAACGCGCGACGAATATCGAGTTCTCCGCCTTTCCGATCAAAGCCGAGTTGAGGTCGTCTTTGAAACAAGTGTAGGTGAAGGTCATCAATGAGAGCTTCACGGACCCGCTGTAGTTGGAAGTGAGGCTGCAGATCAGCGTCGTGACGTCATCGGCGGGTATCATGAGACCAGATGTTTTTGCAAGTATCTTCCCCTCAATGGATGCCACAAACGCGTGGTTTACTTTACCTGTCATTGACATAAGACAAAGTATGAAGTCAGCAAAAATAAAAACCAGTCAAAAGGGTTGCGTGATGACGGATGAAAAAAAAAAATACTGAATTTTTGTTTTTTTACAAAGTACAACAAAGCGGATTTCTCGGATTAAAAAGTTAGATATGTATCAACATACACAGAGACATCAAGACATGTGACATAAATAAGGGAGAGAAGTTATCGAGAATTCATTTTTCAGTCAATACTCAATGTTTTATTAAAACCCCGCCAGGCACCCCACCAAAAATCAAAGAAGGAAAGTAAAGAAAGAAAACCTGCATGTCACATTCTAGAAAACCTGCATGTCACATTCTAGAAAACCTGCATGTCACATTCTAGAAAACCTGCATGTCCCTTTAAAGAAAATCTGCATGTCACATTCTAGAAAACATGCATGTCACATCTAGAAAACCTTTATATCACATCTAGAAAACCTGAATGTCACATTCTAGAAAACCTGCGTGTCACATCTAGAAAACCTGTATGTCACATTCTAGAAAACCTGCATGTCCCTTTAAAGAAAATCTGCATGTCACATTCTAGAAAACATGCATGTCACATCTAGAAAACCTTTATATCACATCTAGAAAACCTGCATTCCACATTCTAGAAAAGCAGCATGTCACCTCTAGAAAACCTGCATGTCACATTCTAGAAAACCTGCATGTCACATTCTAGAAAACCTGCATGTCACATCTAGAAAACCTGTATGTCATATTCTAGATAACCTGCATGTCACATTCTAGAAAACATGGATGTCACATCTAGAAAACCTTTATGTCACATCTAGAAAACCTTTATGTCACATCTAGAAAAACCTGCATGTCACATTCTAGAAAATCTGCATGTCACATCTAGAAAACCTGAATGTCACATTCTAGGAAACAATCATGTAACATCTAGAAAACCTGAATGTCACATTCTAGAAAACCTACATATCACATCTAGAGAACATGCATGTCACATGCCAGAAAACCTGCATGTCACATTTTATAAAACCTGCATGACACATTCTAGAAAACCTGCATGTCACATCTAGAAAACCTGCATGTCGCATGCCAGAAAACCTGCATGTCACATTTTATAAAACCTGCATGACACATTCTAGAAAACCTGCATGTCACATTTAGAAAACATGTATGTCATATTTAGAAAACCCCTATGTCACATCTAGAAAACCTGTATGTCACATTCTAGAAAACATGCATGTCACATTCTAGAAAACCTGCATGTCCCTTTAAAGAAAATCTGCATGTCACATTCTAGAAAACATGCATGTCACATCTAGAAAACCTTTATATCACATCTAGAAAACCTGCATTCCACATTCTAGAAAAGCAGCATGTCACCTCTAGAAAACCTGCATGTCACATTCTAGAAAACCTGCATGTCACATTCTAGAAAACCTGCATGTCACATCTAGAAAACCTGTATGTCATATTCTAGATAACCTGCATGTCACATTCTAGAAAACATGGATGTCACATCTAGAAAACCTTTATGTCACATCTAGAAAACCTTTATGTCACATCTAGAAAAACCTGCATGTCACATTCTAGAAAATCTGCATGTCACATCTAGAAAACCTGAATGTCACATTCTAGGAAACAATCATGTAACATCTAGAAAACCTGAATGTCACATTCTAGAAAACCTACATATCACATCTAGAGAACATGCATGTCACATGCCAGAAAACCTGCATGTCACATTTTATAAAACCTGCATGACACATTCTAGAAAACCTGCATGTCACATCTAGAAAACCTGCATGTCGCATGCCAGAAAACCTGCATGTCACATTTTATAAAACCTGCGTGACACATTCTAGAAAACCTGCATGTCACATTTAGAAAACATGTATGTCATATTTAGAAAACCCCTATGTCACATCTAGAAAAGCTGCATGTCACATTCTAGAGTCAACTGAGGTGTCGAGGTTATTTTCAAAATTCCGATTGCGCAGCGTAGAGTGTATTTGTTAAAAAAATTGGTATTACATAAAATAGTGGGCACTTAGGCCAAAAATACAAATGTTTTTATTAATAGAACAAATTTCTGAGCGAAATCTTTTAAGCCAGTTGTTCTCAAAGGGGGCACGTTATTTTTATAAGGGAGGAAGAGTGACACGACTCTGCATATTTTACTGCTAATAAATTAACAAAAACTTCCCCATCAAGGACAGATTATGTTAACGTGGTTTTAATATTTTTATTTTTTGTTTAAGAACCGATCTATCTCTACTTTCTATCGTTTCACCAATCGCCAACATCTGGCGGATAGAAACTGAAAGTTGATTGACTTTCACAAGGCAAGTCTTCAGAAGCTTTTGACTTTTGAATTTGTTTAACCCTTAACATACCAAGGGGTCTAGAAAGTCTTGTCGTGTTTTTTTTTTTTGGATTCTGCTTTTACTGTAGCAACTAGTTTATTCCATTTTTAAAAATGTATAACTTTATCAGCGTAGGATATTAAATATTAAAACTAATAATAGTTTCCGTCATAAAATTATATATAGGCCTATTATTAAAAGTGTTTGTTAAAGGTTAAATTACATTAAAATCTATTACATTTCATTGAGATGTTATCGTCCTTACAGGGCAGTGCTACCTACTGTACTAATTTTTTTGTTGAAACGGGTAACATGGGGAAGCGCTGGGATTGTCTTGTGGTGCCAACGGTGCGGTGATCGAGGGAAAAAAATGAGAACCACTGTTTTAACCCAATGCTCTAACTTCTAACCTCGCTGCAGGAGCATCTCAAGCAAACACTCCAGAGAAGACTGAAACAGGTCATCTCCTAGCACGGCATCTCCACTTTCCATTGTATCGACAGACATCACGTCCACAGATACCGCTCTTGTCATCCCACTCACAGGCGAACCGACCAAATCCCTCGCACTCATCGAATCTTGTGACGTCCGGTGCTGCGGTGCAGACGGAAGGGTCAGCGCATATAAAGGGATTCGCGGGGTAGCTTTTGTAGTGACCATTGGTTTAATGTTGTACTCTTGGTTTCTGAAGTATTCGCTCAAAACATCATCATTGAAGACCGACTTAATGTCAATGACCCTGCCGTCACTACCGCTGTCAGCCTTGTCTTCGAACCGGATCTCACCGCTGTACTCCCCACCGCAGGTCTCACCCGAAGACGCATCACCGTGCCTACCAGAACTGCCAACCTGGTTGCTGCCCTGTCGTGTTATCTTTGCACTCGCATCCCTTTTATCAAGACGTGTTTTCCTACGGATATTCCTTGGAGGCTTGAACATTTCTTCGTGTGTCTTTTGAATGGGCTTAACGCTGCGTGGTGGGCGCTGCTCACTTTTGCCACGGTCTGATGCTCGCTTTGGGTTTTGGACTTCTTTAGAAGGAGACATCTTTTCACGATAGAAGGCGTGGTTGTTTTTCTTTCTATTTATCTTTTGTTTTAAAACACTCCCGGTCCTATCATTCTTTAGTTTTAATGAAGCATTCGCCGGACCTTCGAATGTGTAGATATTTTCATCGAAGCTCTGCTCGCTTTGACTGGGAGCTGATATCACAGAGCTTCTGTCCTCTGCGTCAGCACTGGCGTTGCTGGCAGGTGTTCTCCCGCGTATAAATGCGTACGCTGTTTTAAGCTTCGGATTCCTTACGCTCCGCCTGGGATCCACAACCATCTGAACAGTTGTCGCCATATCATCGTCAGGATTAGTTATAGCTGAACGGCACGTTCTAGTCTTGGTGGAGTTGAGGTGTTCTCTTATCCACTCATTATCGATCGCATGCCTGGAAATATATTCTGCAAACGAGATATCAGAATTTTCTCCAGACGCCAGTTCTCTACCGTAAATTTCATTAGTTTCAACGAAACTAACTTGTTGAGGATAGTCTTCCACAATAGGTTTGTACATATCCGACTGATACTTTTGATCACAATGATAATTTCTTGGGAAAACTTCAAAGTTGTTCGCCTCACCTTGTAATCCTTCCTTATCGGTCATGTTGCTAGCAGTGGACTCCATATCTTCATCTCGGGTAGGTTCGCTTGACTTTATAGAAGAAACCATTTTTGTCACCACGTTTGTGAACCACGCCCAGCCCGAACTTGGGACGCCGTGATTAACACAAGCATCTTTGAGAGAACTTGGGGCGCCTTGCTTAACACGGGCATCTTTTAGAGAACTTGGGGCGCCTTGCTTAACACAAGCATATTTGAGGGAACTTGGAGCGCCGTGCTTAACACAGGTATCTTTGAGAGAATAAGAATCTTCCATCTTGCACAATTCCCACGATTGTTTGAACTCGATGGAGTTATAGTCATCACCAAGAGATTTGCATTGAATGGGTTCATCGATGTTAACTTCAAAACCAAGAATCTGATGCTGTGATACAACTTCCTGATGCTGTGATACAACTTCCTTATGCTGTGATACAACTTCCTGATGCTGTGATACAACTGCGTGAGGGTGCAACTCAAGAAGGACATCTGTTGTATCAAAAGGTCTGTAACCTTGGGAGCCTTGATCGCATAATTTAATATTGCCTGTCTTAGCCTTGAGTTGAGTATCTGGAACAGAATGGAAACTGTCGAAAGTAGGGCTTTTATTTCTGCATTCTGTGCTAAGCTTTTCGTTAACTTCTTTACCTAAGACCAGACGAACACTGTGCTCTGGTGTCTGGCTAGCTGTAGACAGCAATATGTTACATTCTTTTTTACCCCATTTTCCAAGCATATTGAGCCACCTTGCCACAGTAATTTTGTTTTCTGAATTCCAATCTCCGAGCTTCTCTTGCCGAGACTGGACATGCTTGCGAATGTTTCTTTTCACACCAGTGAGGCTACTATTAATTTTACCGACCAATGACAGCTGGTTTGCTCCTAAACCCAGGTCATCATTTACCTGCTCTGTTTTTGTCATTGACTCCGATAATTCGTGTGACAGATGTCCATTTGCTTGTAATGACGTTGAGCTATCATATACTTTGGTAGCATGTGTGTCTAAGGCCGAGCTGG